TTTTAAAGCATTAAAGCAGCTGTGGCCCAGGAACACACCTGGCCCAGCCCAACTCACCATACTGAAAACCTGTTTCTTTCAAGCAGTAAAGCTTTCTGATGTTGTCCATAAATACTAATTTCTGCCAAGGCGACTAAAAACAGAATTGATCCTTATTGCTGGATTAGTTTCTGCAACTCCATAAGGAATGAAGAGCTACAGTTTCCCATTCACTGTCTTTTTAAAGTTTATTCTAGCAGAGTGATGGCGAACCTTTTGGGCTCAGTGTGTCAAACATCTGGAAAATGCCTAACTTGATTCTGCTGATGCATCACCCCTCCCCAGACAAAAGAGAAACAATTCTTTACATATTCATTAATTAAAAAAATAGAGTCCAATCATGCGTGGTGCTGTGTATTACATAAAGAAACATCAAATAATTACAAAAATGAAGTATGAGTGAAACAAACTCAGTGTCTTTGGTAACTCAAACAGGGAGAATAGCTGTTGTTGGGTGTTGGTGTCACCCAAAACGTGGCATGTCACCTTTGACACTTGCGTCATAGGTTCGCCATCACTGTCCTACGATCTGTAACGCTAGCAGAAACAGCCATATAGAGTCGATTCTTATTATTTGTGGTAGTTATGCTCTATAAAGTTGCCGCAAACACTGAATTAGCAAACACTGACCTGCTGCCCCTAAGAAAGGACACTGGTCTGACAGTTGAAACTAGAAGCAGTGTGTCACCTCGTTTGACCTCAGCTGGGAATGTGTGGTCGGGTGACTCAAATTTTTTCACTGCTGTGCGCATGTCTGTGAGTAGGCCAAATCACAAATACGGAATCTGCAAATAATGAGGATCGAGTGTGCAACTAACACTACAGTTTTAGAATGAAGCTGCCATGGGATTTTATTTTTACTCCCCTCCCCCAACCCAGCATTCACTGAAACTTATAAAGAAATATGGCATAAGTAATGACTGTGTTTATTTTTCTTGGAAAAGGATTCACTACAACATACTGATTAAGATATCATGAACACCTTTGACATGGTATTTAAAAATATTATATTTACACGACCTCATAAATGAAAAAAGAAAAAAAAATCCAGCAAACAGAAAGAACATCACCTGGAAAAAAATGTTTTGTACATTTTATACCCAAGATGTTTTTGAAAAACGATGAGCTCTAAAAATTGTGTCTTTACAATCATGTCTTGTAAAGAAATTGTTTAAAATAGTTCATTCCCCGCCCCCCCCAACATCCTTCTGCCTCTTCTTCTGAAGATGCTTCTAGACAGTGCAGTTTAAGACATCAGTGATCATTCAGTCTCTGTCGAATGTTTCGAGATTCAAATTTCCGCTTTTTGAAGACCGGCATTCCTTCGGTTGTGTCGCCGAGAGAAGTGACGGTTTTTTCTTTAAAGATTACTTTGGCATCCTCTGGTACTTCTAAAACAGGGGCTGGGAGAGTGTCACTCTCTGTACTGGGAAGCTCCAAGTCTACATTCTCACTGAATGGAAAAGAAATGAGACGATTGTTGAACAAAAGCTATTTAAAAAATAAAACTGGCCCAGCGTGGCAACTTAGGTACAAAGTTGCCGACCGAACCCTAGCCATATATAAACATATTTCAACTCAACCTATCTTTCCCTCAAAACAGCAGGCTGAAAGAACGCTGTGACCAGCAAAAATACATTTCACAAAATTTATAACCTGCAGATAGAGAAGTAGTATAACTCTAGCTCGGTGTTCCTCAACCTTGGCCACTTGAAGATGTGTGGACTAGGGAATTCTGGGAGTTGAAGTCCACACATCTTCA